AACAGACTTTCCGAGTCGTCCCAAGCACCCACTCAGTCCAAGGCCCAATCACGTCGTCTACATAGGGAGTGCGTACGGAGTTCTGCCGAACTTCGGCAAACCCTGCGGAGCTGCTGCTTGGGGTAATTCAGCTCTTCTCGAGTCTTTTGGCTGAAGAGAGTTACGGTGTATTTTCTTCAACCCCCCCAAATGTGGCCAAATGTCCGGCTTTCGGGTATTGAACCTCTGTACAAGGGACTCGTACCCCCGGGGGGGGATGCTGGGAGGTTACACAAATGCCGTACTTCTGTTTGGGGGCCTTGCTTTCTTGCAGTATGTACGAATTATTATTGTTATTATTACATGCGCATGCGCATGCAGATGGCGATGGGGGGATTCTTAGTGGGTAGTGGGTAGGTGGCACCAGTAGTGGCAGGGAGGATACTTGTGAAGTTGCTGCTGTGCTGGCCGATACTCGTAGGCTTCCCTCATGCCTTCGGTACCCAATAACCCCGAGATTCTTTCTTTCCTTTCCCGACGACTTCATAATCCTTGTTTGGGTTTCGAGATTGGGGGTTCCCTGTCACCCCCATCGTCACCGCCATGGGCAATGTGACACCCTGAATTGTCAGCGTTGCTTTTGCGGTTCTCCATGACTCACCTACCTACGGATACCTCATGGACGGATAACCACAGATGGGTAGTAATCCGAGAGAGGGGGGGTGGTGAGTGGGAGTGAGAGAGTGGGAGAAAGTGGAGGGAGGGGATGTAACGAACGCCAGTGCCAGTGCACAGTGTCAGGCAGATAGGTAGGAAGATGCAGGGGGGACGGGCCGCTCAATTACCACATGGCAAATTACCCTCTGGTAAGCATTCCGAGTACTACTGCAGAGGAGTGGACTGGACTACCCGATCTGGGTCAGAATTTTTATTGGGAGAGGGGGGGAAGATGGAACACTGGAGGTGAGAAGTATCTGTTTTTTTTTTGCTCTACTGACTGCTACGGTGGTAGAGGCTAGGTACTCTAGGTACCGGCGCCAGCAGACAGCAAACAGTCTACCTCGTACTGGGTACTGGGTACTTGTACAAGGACACGCGGAATGGCTGCAAAAGTGCCTTGCATGTGCAATTTTCAGGGAGTTTCAGCCACTTCAGCCACATCATGCGCCACTCAAAATGTCGAGCCGAGAATAATCCGTGATCACGTGGCAGTCGCTAGCACCGCCACAGCATCCAGCCACTTTTCGTCCAGGTTTCAGTGTGTGACGAATGATGACGCCACCATCGCTGCGGACCATTTGCCCGAAACTGGTTCGGTCGATGTCAACCATCGACATCAGAGACAAACAAACCCATGCACCCATGCATCCATGCCAGCTTTTCAATTTATGGTATCCTCAACCGATCCGGATCTGTTTACCATTTCGTCATACAATCTCAGAGTTCAAGTTTTTCGTTCTGCAGTGGCGAAGCATCCTTGTGCGGCGTTACGAGGGTTTGCTTTTGGCTCTGGTTTCCGTTGGAGCCTGAGGTGGGCAAGCAGGACAGGGCAAGCCTCATATCCGCAGTTACAGGGGGACGTTGTTTGCCATCAAAGCTACCTGCCCTGCCGCCGGACTTCCACTCATCCGAGACAAAACCGCAGCAGGAAGCAAAAGCTGTGGGAAGCGCAGGGAATAAGAACCAGGGGTGCCATCCATGTCCAAATCAACATCGGATCGAGTTCAAGAGAAAGTACAACTCTCTTTCTGAGACGTACTGAACCTTGATGACTTTTACGTGATCCTTTTTTCATGGACCGCCCTGGTTGCCCTACCCTAACACCTACTACTCGATGCAGAAGCGATGATCGGACGACAGCGATTACCTTTACAGAGTCACGAAGCTTTGCAGAAGCTCCCAAAGCTCCCGTCTGAGGGAGATCTCTGCAGGTTAATGAGTCAGGTAAGGTGCAAGTGATTAGCTAGTGGCCATATCACCTTCATTTCCGTTAGTTGGAGATTGAGGAAGCTTTATACTTTGCAATGGCGTTCAAGATGTCCCGTCCCTGGATCCGCAATCTCCGGATCCCATGGCATTTGCAATATGGCATTCATGTGAATGTGATTTTCTGAACACAAAGTTGTCGGATCGTCAGTTACCCTTTTCACAATATGCACCGGCCGATCGCTCACAACTGAACCTATTACCCAAAAGAGAACATGGTTAGATTGTCATTTGTTGATTTGGGTTTTTCACTTGAACTTTACAACTGTCCCTCTGTTGCCTCTGCAGAAGACCTGATATTCAATGTCGAGTCAGGGAACAAATCTGGCTGCTCTTAAGAGCACGACTCGTGATGCTCCAGCCGCACTAACCTAAATTAGAAGTTCGGAAGCGGTAAACCGAGGTTCAAGCATGTGATTCGCTTGGCCTACAAGTAGTACAAGTTGGAAAGATTCCGTCGTGTCCGTCTCCATCTCCGCAAATCCCCGCGTTCGTTGTTTTCGGGAATGCGGGTGTTTTTTCTCTAACGTCCAGGCCAGCGGTTTCTTAGCTCTCAAAGACTTTTCTCACTACACAAAAACAAGAAAAGAAGCCCACTCACCACTTACTAGAGCCTTGACGGATGTTTACATGGCTTCACTAAACGAGTCGGAGGGCGGCACTACTGCTGCTGCCGCCGGAACGCGGAAGAGGTCAAGCGCTGCGACAGAAAGACGGTAAGTGACTTTTGTCTGTTGGATCTTTTGCCGCCGGTGGTGGTGTTGGTAGTGGTAGGTAAACTTATCAATGACACGTCGTCGCTGGTGGCAGAAAACTGCGGAACCGACTGTCTCAGCAAGCCTTTCGGGCGCGGCAGACACTGGAAATCAACGAGCTCAAGCAGCAGCTCGCCCTGTTCTCGGGTTCCGAGAGTGATCGCAACAGCAGACTCGTGGAAGAGAACCGCAAACTCAAACAGCTGCTATGGCAGTCGGAGAAGAAGCTGCGGAGTCTCCAGGCCACGTTGAAGGGCATCCTCGATACCATGGTCGAGAGTAGGGAGAACAACTTTGTAAGTTCTGGTTTGGGTGTGCATCAACAATCGACTGGTCATTCCACGTCTGATCGAGGCTGATGAAACATTTCTTCATAGGACGCACATACTGGCGGGAGTGGCCTCGACGACGACGATGAAGGACTGCATTCGTGGACGGCCGACCTCAACATGCCTGCTGGCCTTGTCGACGTCGAAGCACCGCCAGCCCCGCCACTCAACACGGCATTGAATCCCAGGGCTTGCCCGGCTCCAGAGTCTGGCGTCTCATCATGCACCGAAATGTCTGCCACTGAAATGTATGCAGCAGACCGGCACGCTCACACTACGGTGTCGTCAAACGACGGGTCCTTGCCGGAGGACATCGACTGGGACGCCGACGCGGGGGTTTTGGCATTGTCGACCACTACACCTCCTCCAGCTGCACCAACCGTGCGACGCACTCCCCCTCAACCCTCGATTCATGCCCCCATCTATCGCAACCTGCAGATCATGCCACGGTCCAACTACTCGGAACATATCCATGCGTATGAGATGTGCGCAGTCACTCGGTACCTAGGGCACAGACGAAACCCGGATATAATCAGGTACGTGTTTGAATCCCCCCCACCACCACCCTCACCACCCTCCCGGGCCTTTTGGCGTCAAGCGTTTCTGACAAAGAGCCACCGCAACCAGTCTCAATCGCATGGTATCGAGTCTCGTCTCGGCCTTTATCAAGGTCGCCTGGTGCCCCATGGAATCCTGGGTTCAATGGACCAACGGACAGGACACGCTCACCAAACTGGCCGCGTGGCGGGTATCGCCCGGGCCCGAAACATTTGCAGCGATTCCACCCGCGATACAGCCCACGCCGCTGCAGACCTCGGTGCCACATCCGCCCGTCATCGACTGGTGCGTCTTCCCCTTTCTGAGGGACAAGCTGATCCAGTACCACTGCGCCGACCCGGCGCTGGACGAGATCTGCGGCGACATTGGCATGGCATACGTCGTGCAGGCGGACCTATCCGAGTTCGTGCTCGGCGCGGAACCCCTCGCGGTGTACTTTAACATCCACGACATCATCTTCGGCATGGAGACGAACCCGGCGATTCTGAGCGACGCCGACGCCGATAACACCAACGTCAACAACACCAACACTAACAACTCCACCTCCACCGCCCTGATCGGGCCCAAGCCCGCCGTCAAACTGCCCGCCCCGGACCTTTACACGCTGCTCCACACCAAAGAGTACGCGCACGAGCTGTACCGCCGGCTCAAGATTGGCCAGGGCCTCGAGGAGTACCTGCTCGACCCGGTCCTATTTGCCAAGTACCCGCACCTGTACGAGCCGAGCGTCAAGATCGCCCAGGGTGTGCCCCTGCGGTCGCGCAACAGGAATTCCTGGCCCGTGCCGCGGCCCTTGGACGATGTGGCCATGAGTTGGTATCGTAGCTGTTTGGCCGCCTAGGGTTACAAAAGCACCAAGCACCAAGCACCAAGCAATTGGTGCTCCAACCAGGTGTGGTCAAGTTCAATAGCGCGTCAAGGGTGGTCAACTGTGACATGTAATAAGTGAGGCTACGGCGCAGGTTTATCGACTATCGATCGACATGTTTTCTAGCAGGATATGTGAATGAAGCTGACTATTGGCTCGTGTTATGTACAACTTATATGTAACATATCTTCCCGCTCTCACACACAGACACTCTTCACTGTCAGACTTTACTGCAATGTCAACCACGAAAGATGCCAATACAGGACGACATACCACGACGCAACACAAGGCACATTCAGGACGAGCATATATCCGTCGCCAATCACTCATGATGACCTACACCCACGAATGATGAATGTCTCACATCACAGGTTCAGGGTTGAAGTTCAGGTAGTAGGAAGAAAAGGGGCCTAACTACAACGTGACAAAAGAAGCGGCGACAAGTAACATCAGACATGTCTGTATCAAGAATCTACCAGTCTCCAGCTCCACTTTCTCCATCGACGACGTCACATCGTGTCACACTTATTGAACCACCGCGGCATCCTTCGCCTTCTCTGTCTGCTCCTCTGGCGCCCCCGGCAGAGGCACGGACAAAGGCAAATCCAACGACCACGGCGTATCGTCGTTGCGAATATACGGGGCCAAATCGACGTTCTGGCCCTGATCGTGCGCGACCTCGAGATCGGTGCGCCCGTTGCCCAAAAACGCCCAGATGTTGTCCGGGTCGTCGTACCGCAGGTCGTAGTGCTCGTAGCGCGGGACGCGCAGCGTCTTGAGGTGGTGCAGCAGGCTACCGGGCCAGATGTAGACGCGGCCGTCGGGCTTGTTGTCCTTGTACCACGAGCGGCACTCCTCGGCCCACACGCTGTACTTTTTGTGCCACGCGTCCAGGTGGCGGTTTATCTGGGTGGTGGGACCCTGGCGCGGTTCCATGGCCCGGATGCCTTCTTCCTGCATCTTGCGGCAGCATTGGATGGCGTATTCGAGTTGGACTTCGTGCTGTTTGGCACCCCGAACAGGACGGTTAGAAATACTGATCACTTGGCTTCCAAAAAGACGGACGAAGGGACTTAAGAACAAGAGGGAGAGGAGCAAATCTTACCGAAGGCAGAGCACATCCCTGGCCCCAATTCCCCGTCGGCCCATTCACGACAAAGTAATTGGGAAACTTTGGCGCGGCGATGCTGAGGTAGATGTTGGGCGTCTCCTTCCACTCGTCCTGCATGACGGCGCCGTCGACGCCCGTGATGCGAAAGTGCGGCGTGTAGGCAATGTCAAAGCCCGTGGCGCACGCGATCAGGTCGAATTCGAGTTGCTCGCCGCTGGCGGTGACGAGGCCCGTCTCGGTGAAGCGCACAATCTCGTCGTGCACGACGCGCACGTGGTCCTGGACCAGCGTCTCGAGGTAGCCCTCGCCCGGGGTCAAGCGACGACAGCCCGGCGACCACTGCGGGATGAAGCGCTGCTTGAGCTCGTCGTGGCCCTCGCCGATCTTGGCCAGCATGCTCGCCCGCATCGACTCGCGCGCCTGCACGTTCAGCTTGGTCCCGCGCAGGAACATGGGGAACATCTCGGTCAGCGCCGACTCGAGCCGCTTGCGGTACTGCAGGTGGAACTCGGCGTCGGTGCGGAACCGCTGCTTCTCGGCCTCGATGTAGTAGTGCTTCCCAACCGCAGCGGCCGGTTGCGAGTTCTCGTCGATCTTCTGGGCGTCCGACGCGACCTGCGGGGCGATGTAGGTCATGTTGCGGGCGAAGACGGTCAAGGATTCAGCTCCTACGACGCAGATGGGTCTCAGCGAAAAAAAAAGGCTCCCTTGGATGATATCGATGGCAGGGAGGAATCAGAATAATTACCTTTGGCGAGATGCGGCACCATCTGAATCGAGCTCGATCCCGTTCCCAGCACGGCCACCTTCTTGCCCTGCCAGTCGATTGACGTGTCCCAGTTGGCGCTGTGGGCGAGGATGCCCTTGTACGACGAAATGCCCTCGATGGCCGGCCCTGTCAAGAAAAGGGTTGTTTAGCTCATGGTGATTCTGCAAGAACACATCACACGTCCGCCCCGCGATCGGGTTCGAGTGGATGCGTGGCCAGGGCAATACTCACATTTCCACTTGTTGACGACGCCGGAGCCGTTAATCAGCACGTGGCAGCGGTCCGTGAAGGTGCCATCTGCGTTTTTGAGCTCAACCTCCCCTGTTTTTTTCCAGAGAAGCGGCAGATAGTGTCAGCACACGAAGCGACTTTTTAAGAGTGTTCACATTCATTTCGGATACGGGGAAGGGAAAGAAAGGAGAAGAACAAGGGTGACAAAAACTCACACTCGCCGCTGTCCTCGAACCAGGTCGCGCTCACGACCTCGGTGTTCAGCCGCACGTACCGGTCCAGCTTGTACTCGTCGTAAAACTTTTCAAAGTATGTCTGGATCTCGTCGGAGCGCGAGTAGAAGCCCGACCACTCTGGGTTGGGGCGGAAGGTGTAGGTGTAGGTGTGGGCGGGGATGTCGCACGCACACCCGGGGTATCTGTTCTCCCACCATGTGCCGCCGATACTTGGATTTCTTTTTGGGGGGGAGAGGTCAGTTCCATTTGGACAGAGTAATTCAATACGTCCCCTCAACCCTGTCTAAGAATCTAAGACTGGACTTAGGTGGGAACTTACTTCTCATAGCATATCAGTTCATAGTTGCGGAGTTGCCTCTCAGCCTTGTATGCCAGCAACAGGCCCGAAGCGCCAGCCCCGACGTGGATGATCTTGAGCTTGCGGGGTTGAGAGTGGTATTGGTCGAGGACCTCGTAGTCGTCGTCGGTAATGGTTGCAATCATCTTGCCGTGCGGGGAGGGGAAGAGAGAGAGAGAGAGAGGGAAAGAGAAAGTCTTATACAGGTATACTCGAGACCTGATTCCACCAGCAAGCAAAAGGAAATTATATACAAAAGCGAGAAAGATGTCTGTCTCGGATTTCTACCCCACCATTAAAAATAAAAGAGAGATATCAGGAGATGGTATGTGTGTGTATATGTCTAAGTGTGTATGACTGTCGACAAAAAACTCCCTTGTCCCTCGGGTTTATGTTCTGGTACGTGATGTATGTATGGGCACGGGTTGGTCCATTCGGGCCACCACGAAAGATACCTCGGTCTTTGTTCATTATCGTCTCCAGCTTTGCTATGCTTTTGCACTAATATACACGACACGCTTACGCACAACTTTGTATAAACACCCTCACCGGTGGGCAGAGGAAGAGACTGTGTTTGTCATTGGACAACTCGAGACCGGATGACCTGGCGGGGGGAGGGTAGATCGTCAGAGAATGGAATGAGGTCCTCAATCGTTCTTCTGGAAACGCCCACAATAGGCCCGGTCTCACGACTCCCAAGATCTCGGCCTTCTACAAGAGATATAACTTTGAACACAAAAATGGGTGTCTATCTCCATCCATCAAGTGAGGGGTGAAAGTGGCCCATGACTGGCCCCCCGCCCTGGGCAAGTCATACACCCTGACTCGTGCTCCACTGTCAGAAAAGGATTACTATCCCTGCTCCTGGCTGGCTCGCCTAGAAAATCTGCCGAGCCTGGAGGTAGTGGGACTTCTGGGATCCCGGAGTTCATGGGGAATAACAAAGGTAGGGTGTTCCCGAGTCAGTGCGGACTCCCCATACTACATGCATAGCCTTGCAGGGCCGAACTTACAGGTTTGGGTGGGTTGGGGTTCACATCAATACCTTTACAGACAAGTTCGGAACTATACGGAGACGTACTTCGTGCTTTCAGCTCTGGTGTTGTTGCCGTACGCTGACTATTCACTCACTTACGCAGGGTTATGCTACATACAGGACAAAATGCATGGGTTTTAGTTTGATTGTGTCAATTGTGTTTTACTCAGTTAAATGGACTTTTGGAAGCAGCTTTCTGGACCTGGTCCATTCCCGAAAACCCCGTCAGTCTCTCTGTCTCGTCGCCTCTATGCGTGTCCTCCAGTCACCGCCAGTACTTCCCCGGCGACATAGCTTGACTCATCTGAGAGGAGGAATGCCACTGATGAAGCAATCTCGGACGGTTTGGCGACTCTCCCAAGAGGATTGCTGGGTAGCGTCTCGAGGAAGCCTTTCTCCTCCTCTGCCCGCTTCACAAAGGCAGCGGTCGCCGTAGCACCTAAAAAATGGGATCCTCGTTAGATAGAATTTTTCCCCCAAGAATCAAAGGGGTCAAACGTACCTGGGGCGACAGAGTTCGTTCGAATGCCAAACTTTCCAAAGTCTTCCTGCCACGCGCGCGATAGCCCGATGACCGCGTGTTTCGTAGCACAGTAGACGGCGAGCCCGCTGACACCTCTCAGTCCCGCTCCGCTGGCAATGTTGACGATGTTGCCTCGCGAGCCAAATTCACCTTGCGGCTCTTGCTCTTGCATGGCCCGGAGAGCAGCGGTGCCGTAATTCCACACGCCGCCGATATTGACGTGGATCATCCGGTCGTATGCCTCGTCAGAGGCGATGGGGCCTTCAGCCAGCCCGATGCCGGCGTTATTGACAAGACCGTCTATCCTGCCCGCTGTTGAGACGACCTTGGCCATGTACGTCCGACATGTTTCTCTGTCACCAACGTCGATGCCGCCTTGGAAGTGCACTTGTCCCTTCTCAATCCATGGCTTCAGCTCATCCGGGGGAGATGGGGATAGATCCACCGTCCAGACCACGGCGCCTCGCTGTGCAAGAGTCAGCGTGATGGCGAGGCCAATCCCTGAGGCTGACCCTGTGACGACGATGTTTTTCCCTGTGAAGCTGGCCATTTCTCGGCGATAGTCGCTTATTAAGTTGCCTGTTCTGTCCGTCCGTCCGCGCTAACTGCGTTCTAACCCCGGAAACCTAGGGGACAGACTGAGCGACCGAACACAGCCGGTCAATCATATATTTGTAACCCCATGCTGGAATGCATGAGCAGGATCGGAATGACACTGACTCGAGTCACATACGAAAGAGGAAGGGCGCTTTGGACCAATACCTCGGAACGTCAGATCTGGGACATTTGCGGAGCCACATGGTTTGTGGGGAAGGGGGACCAGTGAGCCTTTTCACTGTCAGCGGTGGAGAAGGAGCTTGGGGGGTTTGTCAGCCATTTCACTGTCGATCGCCTCGCGCTGAATATGGTGCCTCGTGTCAGTCACTTCTGACTCGATCCACTCTGTTAGATTTTATTGGTTGTAGCAACATCGGAGCGGAACAATGATATTGCGTGTCATGTATGATTGGTCAGTGGTAGACTTCAGAGAAATTGCCCCCCCCGGAGGTCAAATCTTTTGAGCTTACGCAACCCAAACTGGTCCAGGACCTTTACTCTGAGAACCACAATTTTCAATTGTTGATTTATGCACAATCGGTGTTTTCTGGGGTGGATCCCAGGCTTTGTTCTGTCCCCATCATGCTCCAGCCTCTCGGTCCAGAGCTCAGGCCTCCTAAAAACCATTATGGCCGGGGCTTGACCCCATGGGGGAAGCCAGGGACAACGTGCGTCGACAAGGTGAGGGCTTGGACCGAAAATGTACTTATACACGTGGACCATCCCAGGATATGGGCATATCTCAACCTCTGAACACCCCCATTCCCCCCTGTCTCTCTCTCTCAGGCTAGCACTATCAACACCAAGAAATTTGCTGAACGGTGATCCATTCTCTCACAACAATGGGCAGCCAGCAAGACGTCGAGTCAAGGATCGAGGAGAAAGACGACCCATCTGTCACACGATGCGAACTCGTCGTCGATGTGAAAGATGAAAGGGACCGGGTCGCCAAAGGCGACGACTCTGACGGACACGTCAACTGGACGTGGAAGCAGATCGTTGCCACCGTCTCGCTGTGTGGCGTATACGTGGGTAAGTTGGCACGTTTCGACAGACACACCCAAAGATTCGGAACAGCTCGCTGACAGAGATGACTTTATAGGGTCACAAATTCCTCTCTACTTCGTCGGAGGTACAACTCTTGGACATTCTCTCCCCCTTTGTTCAGAGGCACTAACGAGCGGCAGGCTCTCTCAGCTACATCGCGGCCGACTTGGGCTCAGCCTCGACTGGCTGGCTCACCGTCGCCAACTCCCTGGCTCTCGCCGCCGTCTGTCCATTCTGTGGCTACCTCCAAGACATGTTCGGCAAACGGAATATCTCCATCCTGGGCTGCGTCATGATCCTGGTTGGCCTCATCGTCACCGCAACAGCAAAGACATTTGGTCAAGGAGTTGCCGGCATGGCCGTTGCGGGCGGCGGTGCTGCCATTGGAGAGCTTACGGCGCTTGCTGGGTGAGTGCGGTTTCGAAAAAATTAAAAGACTGGGAAGCAGGTCATTCTCTAACATTTAACCTCTTCTAGCACTGCGGAGCTGGTCCCCGTCAAGAAGCGTGGCATCTATCTTGCATGCGTCACTTTTTTCATCTGTGAGTGGGGATTTTCTGCTCGAGACAAAAATCCTTTGGGACACCGACTGACTATACATCCAAGGCCCTTTCTTCCCATACGTCTTGTACGCCCAGTTGCTCTCGGCCAACTCGACCTGGCGATGGGGTCTGTGGATCACCTTGTAAGAACAACGGGGAACTTTGTCTGAAGACCCTTGTGTGTGCTGACCGGCTCAAAGCATCTATAATGCCGTCTTCTTCGTCGGAGTCCTCCTTTTCTACTTCCCAGATTCGCACATTCTTCGCAAGGGCACTCTGACCCGGATGGAAATCGCGAAGAGAGTCGACTATGTCGGTGCCTTCCTCTCCATAACCGGGGTGATCCTATTGTAAGCTGTTCGCAGGTGATGGGCTCGGTGAGACCTAGCTAACTGTGTGAAAGTCTCGTTGCGCTGCAGTCAGGCGGCTCAAGTCACCCGTGGAAGAGTGCATACGTCCTGTGCATGCTGTTCATTGGCGCGGCGCTCATCTTCGGCTTCGTCATGTGGGAGTGGAAAGGTGCCACATATCCCATGGTCCCGAGGGATCTCTTTGCCGGCCAGCGCGTCGTGGCCATCGCGCTCGCAGTGGCCTTTGTGTCGGGCATGAATTTCTACTCGATGATCAACTTTGCTCCTCTGACATACGGCACTGTCTATGACCCCGAGTATGTGGGACCCTCTGCAGTTTACCTCTCGAGACTGTACTGACTCTTCGCAAGTCCGATTCAGGTTGGCGTCAAGGGTCTCGGCTACTCGATTGCCATCACCGTCGGTGCGTCAGTGATGAACGCCCTGCTCACCATCCTGAAAGGGAACAATCGTGAGCTCCTTCTGACCTCCTGCGTCCTCATGAGTAAGTGGAACCGTGTGATAATTGCACGTCCGCGACACGCGACACTAACCCACTTTCTCTCTCAGCTGCTTTCACTGGCAGCATGGCTGCGGTGACTCCAAACAACGCCGGACTTGCCGTGGGTCTGGCCACAGTTGCAGGGTTCGGAATCGGCGGCGTCATTGTCCCCTCTGCGACGATTGCCATGACCGCGTGCCCCGACTCGCTGATCGCCACGGCGACGGCGCTGACCCTCACCATCCGCTTCGTCGGCGGCTCCATCGGCTATTCCATCTACTACAACGTCTTCAGCGAGAAGCTGGCCAAGAAGCTCCCCGAGCGGGTCCTGGCCTTTGCCCTCGACGCCGGTCTCCCCGAGTCCTCGGCCGCGACGTTCGTCCAGACGTTTCTCACCGTCCCTGCAAACGCCACCGCCGTCGCGGGCGTCACGCCGGCGATTGTCCAGGCCGCGACCATCGGCAGCCGCTGGGCGTACTCGGACGCCTTGTCCTACGTGTGGTATGTCAGCATCCCGTTCGGAGTGCTGTCCATCATCGGGTGTCTCTTGATCGGCGACATCTCCAAGTTCATGACGAACCGGATCGCGGTGCAGATCAGGCACTAGAGTGGCCCAGTGCCCAGCCAGCCAGCCAGCCTATCCAAGGAGCTCGAGAGACGAGGTCTTCCGGTGTGTCTGGACCGACCCATGGAATGGGACGACTTTCACCCGATCAAGATCCAGATCTCTCTCAGCGCAACACGGACGAGCTCGGATCTACTCTACTCTACTCTACTCCAGAGGGTGGAAAGGAGAGGGGAGGCTGTTGACTCAATGGAGGAACATGGTAGATTCTACTAGGTCCTGGAGACATACTAGACTATATACTGTCGAATATTTATCCGAGGGATAATACTGGCACCGTTCGGTAGCCTACCTAGGTATTGTTGAGGGTCGCTGGGGCCGTAACGTGACCGTCATCACATTGCCTTGGGTGCTTGGTAACCCTGGTGCCCTATCAGCCTGCCTATCAGTCACATTTGGCGATCACGTGTCAGTGGTCGATTGTGTGAGTTTCAAATGTGCTAAGGGCCGTGTGGCTATTGTTGTCGCGTGTGGCTTTAGTAGCCGCCGAGGCCGCCTAGCGAATAAGAGGCCGAAGCCGGAGCCGATTCAAGACGACGGAATGTGGAGCTTATTACAACATGCGCCACCTGGAGGGGACTGCTCGTCAATCCAGCCACGAAGTTCGCGGATTTGGCATCGCAATAAAGCTCAAGGGACATGAAATAAGAGGAGAGGTATAAACGCTGTGAAATCAATGTGGTATCACTTCTTCTCGCTTTTGATACCTAGGTCATGATGATGATGATGACATAGATGTTGAGGTTGGGGGTGGGAGTTGTTCAAAGCTGCCCAAACCTGGGCATCCAAGAGACATCTGTCTTTCTTCTTTGGTTCTGTTGTGTGTACGTGACACAAAGTCCCTTTTCATCGCGTGTAATGAACTAACAAGGTCCAAGGACTCGGGGTTATTTCTCATTTCTCCGGAGGGGCGAGGGGGCAGCGGCGAGGAAGAGCTGGTGAAATGCAGAGCTGATTAATAAACAACGCTCGGGCTCATCAACACCTAAATTAGACATTCAATCTCGAACTGGGGAGGACCGGCCAACGCGATTGACCAAATGAAGATGGAGAAATTCCCAGAATCAGGCATCTTGGTCGAGGCCGAGGACTTTGACGACTACGGAGGCTGGGTCCTCGACGCACAGTTCGATCTGGAGATGGGCTCGCCTTACCTGTTGGCGCATGGGAATGGTCGACCGGTCGCGGACGCGACGACGACGATTTATGTCCCGCACGCTGGCGAGTACAACGTCTGGGTGCGTGCCAAAGACTGGGTCCCCGGCCATCATCCAGGCAGGTTCACGCTCGCGGTCAACGGGAGCACCTTGGACACGGTCTTTGGGGCGAACGATCTGGACTGGTCCTGGCAGTTTGCGGGAAAGGTGAAACTTGCAGCGGGCGCGACGGGACTGGCGCTCCACGACTTGACAGGATTCTGTGGACGTTGTGATGCCGTCTTCTTCAGTCGCGACGACATCCCGCCGCCAGAGGCTGTTGACGAACTGACACGTGCTTGGAGACGTAGGTTTCGTGGACTGCCACAGGATCCGGTCGACGGGGGCACCTTCGATGTCGTCGTTGTCGGGGGTGGTGTGCCTGGAGTGGCTGCCGCTCTGACAGTTGCCCGCTTAGGAGACCGTGTCGCGCTGGTCCACGATCGGCCCTATCTTGGGGGCAACGCCAGCGTGGAAATCGGACTTCGACCACGTGGAGTGACGGGCCCGCTGATTGACGAGATCTCAGAGCGAAAACCCGACGGCGACATCTGCGCCAGAGATCTGCTCGAGGCGGAAACGAATGCCACAGTCTTCCTGGAACACGCGGTCTACAACGTGGTGAAACGTGAATCGACCATCGTCTCCGTGGACGCCCGCCACGCCCGCAGTGGCCGCGAGGTGCGCTTGACGGCGCCGATCTTCATTGATTGCTCCGGCAAAGCCATCGTTGGACTGCTCTCCGGCGCAGAGACGCTCTTCGGGCAGGAGTCGCGGGCCGAGTATGGCGAGAAGCTCGCCCCGGTGGATGGCAACGCCATGCACCACGGCAACACGGTGTTTTTCCGCACACGCATGGCAGACGCACCTTCAACCTTCCCGCACGTCCCCTGGGCTACAGAGGTGGCCAAGGACTTCTCCAATCTCGGCGGCCAGCTGACGAGGCCTGGCGTTGAAAACGGTCCAGGCCCTGCCATCGCGCCTCCCAACTCTGCATCCCAGCCAAAAGTCCCCCGGCGAATGACGAGGCCGTTGACGCACTTTTGGGAGTACGGCCAGTGGCTCGACTCCTACACCCAGGGCGAGCATATCCGCGACTTCCTCCTGCGTGCCATTTACGGCACCTTTTCCAACGTCAAGACAAAGGACCCCAAGACCTACGCCAACCTCGAGTTCGACTGGGTCGCCTACGTTCCCGCGCAGGGCGAGTTCCGGAGGTACAAGGGAGACCACGTCCTCACGGAGAACGACATTCGCGGCCACCGGCGATTCCATGATGCCGTGGTGCAGAACGAGGGGGCATTCTGTCTGCACTACCCCGGCGACGAAAAGTACGACTTCCGGCTCCGCTGGTGGGAATGGGACGAGAGGGACGGGAAGCCCTACGACATTCCATTCCGGTGCCTCTATTCGGCCAACGTCTCGAATCTGATGATGGCAGGCAAACACATGAGCGCCACGCATGTTGCGTCGTCAAACACAAAGTTCATGGGCAACGGGGGGCAGCACGCCATTGCAACGGCCGCGGCTGCGCACCTGTGCAAGAAATACCACACGACTCCTCGGGGCGTCTACAACAATCGCGTCTCAGAACTCCAGAAGCTGGCCGCGTCGATAACTGGTACTGATTGTTCTCGGGCCCAGAGCCACCTGTGACGACTATCAATGCCTTTCTACACCTGCTTGAATGCGGACAGCGAGACACTTGAACATGCCCAAAGGGTTAGCTCCGTAACATATGCAGTTTGAATCGGGCAATAAGCGAACTCCAGCCCTCGGACGATCTGAGCAGCCCTGAGATACCTAAAATAGTCTCTGTCACCAGCATTGACGACATCAGCCTTCTTGTTCTTTTTCGCCGTCATGGTGTATTCTAGGGTGTGCAATGCCTAGATTCTCCTTGGAAACTTGCACATCTTTTCTGCCGCAGAAGCAATGGCCGACTGGAGAGAGATGAATATCCTGCGATAGTACCTTTTTTGCACAAGTACAGGCGATGCGGCGTAGTCCCCTTTTCACAACAAGTGAGGGTTGGACAGGTACTAGGCTCGTCGGTGCTCGTACAAGGCTGGCATCGCGCTCCTTCATAGGATTTGGCTTGGCAAGTTTGCGGCGGCGTGATAGACGAGGCTGACCAATCAGCAAGCGACCCTTGTCTTCAATGTTTCAATGGCCACGCTGCCCTGCCCGCAATGCTTTTGCTCACCTACTGTATGTGCTGTCTCCGACAGAATTTCTTCGCTCCAACGTACAGTGAGACGTAATTGAACGACAAGGCGGGGATCATATTCACGCCCTTGAAAAGGATCCAGGACACACCTTTCGCAGTCATTCCGTGTGAGCTCGGTGCATTTCTACAAAGTCTGACCCCAGAACACCTCTCACGATCGCGTCGCCAACTGCGACTCATACGCCTGTTGTCCCCACGCCCTCTGAACGCAAGATAACACCAGAATAAAACCCGAGCGATACTCCTACGATAATACTTCCAATCTTGACCTTTACCCACTACACCTTCACCGGACCCATTGTCCAGCTGAGCTGTGCGACAAACCACACCTCGAGAAACGAAAGAGATCACATAACCCAAGCCAAGAGAACCAGAAAACCCTGATTGGAGACCTGGGAAAAGGAGAAGAGAAAACAAAAATGATCACAGACGCCCAGCTGTACAGCCTGGCCATTTTCCTCGGCAGCGCGGCCATGCTGATGATTGTGCTCTACCACTTCCTCGAGGTCAACGCGGAGGGTGACGACAAGTTGAATGGGGAGCTGAGGGACGAGAAGGCCGGCGTCGGTGCCGTCAAACCCCCGGCTGCTGTGGGCGAGGAGGCTCGGTGAGACGGGTGAGAGTGTCACGATTATAACCAAAAAAAAGGGGGCGGGGAGATATGCTCGGAGGGATGGAACTAAGCACGGTGTATGGGTTTTCGTCCTCAAAAAGGCTGGCTTTGGGTTGGAACGGAATGAGAGGAATGAAAGGATTCGGAGGGCGGCGTTCGAGGATGGATGTGTGGTCACTGTGAACTGGTAACAGAGAGGCTATACACAAGAGACCCATGTAAAGGAGGTGCGGAAAAGAGATGGAGAACGAAAGGCTTACAAGGCCCTTCCACCATGAGCACTGCCGACTGGCACCAATCTCACCCGATACCTCCTCGCCAGCCATCTCCCCCAGCTGAAGCCATATCAAATATCGATCCACCACAAAAGCACGAGTGTACGAGCAGAGCAGAGCCGAAGGCGAAGCGCAAGCAAAACACCCTGAGAGGAAACACAGAATCACAGCCAAAGGCCTCAACGGATCTTGCGTAGATCCCCAAGCAAAGCACGGTGTCCACGAGCTTTGGTCTGGATCAGATCAAATTACCCGAATCATGTAAACCACACCACACACAATTGTATCATAATACATTATCTGAGAGATCGTTAACGGCGCTGGGAGATCCACCCAGGATTGAAAACACATGAATTTAAAGAAATGTCTATTTGGGGATCATCTACACTGCCTCGTAGTGAGTGAGTGACGTATGGACCGAGTCCTACGTAATTCCCAGCTAGGTAGCTATCACGTACGAACTTGATCTGTCCAGTAAGCAGGCCATCTTCACGATGCGTTCACTTTGCCCTCTGCCTCCTCTTAGCTGTCTCTTCACAATAGGATGACGCCCCCTCCTGGGTCCATATCTGTATATATGCTGGGGACTCCTCTGGCTGGCTCTATCTCCTCACCTACTGGAAATCTCGTTACCCGAGTCAAAAGACAAGATTTGGGATAAGATAAGGCTACTGCTCGGAAACGCTCAGACGGCACAAGAGGGTGTCGCGGAGAGACAAGAAAGCTTGAGCAATGTTTTGAAGTCCAGTTTACTCTGATGAAGCTCTATGGCACCTTTGCTCTCTGATGCCTTGCGGCATGTCAATGTACCAGCGTCGATGTCTGTCATGATATACCTCGCTAACCCTCGTCTCTCCCGATTCGATCCAGGTTGAAGAAGTTAAAATTTGATCGGCAAGCTCGTCTAGGTGGCTCACAGCTCACAGAAAGCTCATTCTCAGATCAGCAATAACTCAAAGATTGACGCGCCAACTTGTTCTTCCGAGAACCTCATTCGGTAGTGCCCATCTGTCGACGTAGATTTGTCAAAGAGGCTGCTTCAACACTGAAGTTGTTGTAGATAATCACCGAATTCCTAGCCCGGCTCAGATTGCGAGGAGTTGACCAGGGCAATTAAACGTGTATGAATAGCTCTCTGATCTCTTGCGCGAGTTGTCCTCAATAATCCGCATCAACCACCCTCTGAATTCCTGGGTTTTGTATCAGGGTGGACCTCCTCGCCTCATTCACCAGGATACACCCGCCGCGGTCGAGCCCTGGCCCAATCTTGGCCTTTCTTGCCGCCATGGCTTTCAACGTTTCCTCAGCGACAGCCCTCGGACTGCTCTTCTCGGTGCGGTGTGTCTTCATGAAACTTCTTTGTGCATGCTTCTCTGCTTCACTGTGTTCGGCCTTCAGCAGCGTCATCGTGTCCGGTTCCAGGTGGTCTTGCACAGACTTGACTGAAACGTCAGGTGTGGTTATTCGTCCCTGTTCGTCTGACAGGAAGCGGGCTTTGTCACGGAGGAGGGTCTGAGGATCTGTGTGAGAAAGAGTTCTAGCGAGGGAAGTCGAAGAAGGTTGTGTGGGAGGATTAAAGAGAAATCTCGAGACATCAAAGGGTTTTGATGCTGTTCTGTTTTGCTTACCAATAGTCTTAGTTGTTGGGCCATCACCTAGCGTAGACGCGACTTTCTTCATGTGCTCCTCAATGTGCGCAAGCCAGTCTTTCCGAGTGTCAAATATCTCAGAGGGATGCAGAGAACCGTCTCCGTCATCTACGAGGTACTCGCACCTCTTCCACCAGCAGATATAGCCACCTTCTTCTCGAAGTTGATCGGGGGTCGGTCGATGGACTTTTGCGACATGTTTTCGGAGTGTCTCGAGGTTGTGAAGCTGTGACTTACAATGCCGCCAACGGCATTTGAAAACAGGAAGGCTTGGCGAAGCAGGTGAAGAAATGGAGACCTCGATTGAAGAGAAATCCTGCACCGCGGCCTTCTTCATCGCTCCAATACTGCTATGTAGGGTTTTAGCTCCAGGAGGGCGTCCTCGTCTCTTCACACTGGGAAATAGCGGCCCACTGCTCATTGTTTTTGATTCCCCCGAGGCAGCCACTTGACTAGATGTAGATCGAGTCGACCGCCTTCGCTCCGAAACAGGAGAGCTGTCCAAGGGGATAAGGCTTCGTTTTCGCTTCAGAGGAGTGATTGGCTGCGGAGTAGACTTCGGTCGCTCCTCCGCGTCTGCAGCCTCAGATCGTGGGGAAGCGTGAGAACCCTGTGATCTGACGCTGACTTGCGGGACTGCGACATGCGGCTGAGGCTGCTGAGGTCTTGACTGGACTTGTGCGACAGGAGGCACGACTTTGTCTTTGGCCTTGTCGGTCGCGGTCGTGGGCGCGGTAGTGGGCGCAGGTGCGGACGCGGGCGGGGTCATTTTGCGCTTTGCCGTATCTGGTAATACGTGTCTCGGCGCAGTACCCGCCTCAGACGGCGGAGGAACATGAGCCCTTGAACGTCGAATTCCTGCTTCCCCCAGACGGAATCGAGGAGGCTCAGTCGGGACATCGGCGTAAGGAACTTGAGGTACGGGGGGTCCTCCCGGATCGATCGCGTCCCAGTCAAAGGTGCTGAGATCAGAATCCATTTCCACGTATTTCCCAAGCAGACCTGCCATGTGCGCATTGAGTGGGCGCTCAGTCGGATGCCTTCCGGCAGCGATCAAAATATCCCTAGCTATCGTCCTCGCATCGTAATAGGTTTTCCGCAAAGCTTCCTTCTTATCGATAGGCTTGGCAAGTAGTTTGATCGACCGGTGTGAGTGCTGCGCAGGTGGCGGCACAACCGATGGTGGAGCGAGTTGAGGTGAGGGATGAGTAGGAGGCGGATTGTGACCAAGTTGGTGTTGGGGGAGGCTGGGATTGAACCGGAGAGGCTCTGGGTAGCCGGGGGCCCGGAAGGGGACTGCAAGCGAAGACGCATTTGTAGTTGATGGTTGATTCTGATACTGCTGAAATAGATCTTTCGGTTCCAGGGGAGGGCTCTCAATCCGGGCTTGTTTCCTGGACATTACGTAGTCTTCATTGTCGCTCAATGCTGTTAGGTCGACCACCTCGGAGAAATCACGTTTTCGCGCCATTGCTTCCTTCGAACCAGGTGCGGGCTCGGGACGAGCTTGATGGAGGGGTTTAGCGGGTCTTGCACGTTGCATTTGAGGGTATCGTGGTTGAGGGTGCGGGCCGAGAAAGGGAGGAGGCTCTGGTCTCGGAAAACCTTTGCTGAAGTTTGGAGAAGGAGCAAGGGTAGAAGCATTCACCAGCAGTGGCTGTGGATGCACAGTAGCTGGTAGACGTGGCGCGACAGAAATTTCGGGAGCTGGTACCTGTCCTGGTACCGGTCCTGGAACCGGTATGGCAGGAGCTGCAACAACCGGAGTCTTCGAAGGGCCTCTCAACTGTGGTACTTCGTTGAGGAGTTGTCGCGCAAACTGACCCCTATGAAACTTGAGGCCCTTGTTCTCGAGCATCAGACACAAATCGATATAGCTGGGGTTCTGCTCAAGCATGCCATGAATGTCTTCGGGGCTGACTTCGATCTTCTCATTCTCTGGGCCGGCCTTCAAGAACTTGACAGCAACGGCTGCAAGAGCATTCCGTTTACTTTCTGGCCACATAGTCTCACCACTTGGCTTACGAGGAGGGAGATCTTGTGTCAGTGATGCTGTCTTCTCGATTGCCGGGACTTTGGGGGTTGAAGTGGGGGTCGAAGTTTGTTGCGCAGTAGGAGCGAAGACTCCATTTGGGAGCACGTTTGTCGCTGCCGGGCCTGTTTTCGGTTTTGTGGTGGTCTGTCCCGTAGCATCTGTCTCCGACGAATGCTTGCCATTGTATGTACTTCTGATCCGTCGTTCTGCAGGGAAACGACCCAAGTCAGGCAATCCTTCGGAATTGTTTTCAACGACGACCCTATATCCGTTGAGCCTGGGTCCCTGCGAGAAACCAGAAAGAGCGTCTGACTGTGATCTGGCAGTCTCCGTAGTGGGGATCGGTGTAGGTCGTTGGAAAGGTGCCTTTGGTAATGTAAGTGGAGCAGAAGCGACTGTATTCGTTAAGGGTTGCTGACGATCTTGGCCGTTTGGAGGAGCCGGATTAGTACTCGTCTGGAGAGAGGGCGAAGGCGACGGGATTGCTACCGACGGGACTGAGGATGTCTTTCGCATGTCGTCCCACAGCTTTTGGAAAAGGTTGGGATCTCTGTTCCGAAACTCTTGCATCTTTTCCATCATGGCCCGAAGTCCAGTTGCCATGTCTGCCTCGTCGTCTCTAGGACTTGAGTGCTTGTCATGCTGAGGCTCATTCTCAGAGAGAGGCTTCTGCGAAGGGCGAGGAGCTTCTTGGGTCTGCTTAGTCTTTTTCTCCGCTGCACCAGTCGCAGGAGCAGCTGCAGCTGCAGTAAGAGCCACTTGCTCTTGATTCTTCGCTGCGGCCAAAGCTTCTTCAGCTTTCTTTTTTGCGATAGCCTCTTCTCCGGCTTTCATTTTCGCGGCAGCTTCTTGCTCTGCCTGTCGCTTTGCCTCGGCTTCGGCTTGAGCAGCGGCTTGCTGGCGCCTCCTTTGGTGTTCTTTGTGGAAGGGGTTGAACACCTGGGTAGGGTCGATATAACTCGGCATTGACTGCGTTTCAAGTGTCGCTGTGTTTTGAATTCGGGCAGGCTCCTCAGGTGAGTGCGTAACGAGGTTTGAGATGCTACTCACTGACTGAGCTTGAGGTTGCGCGTGCCGTTGCACTGCCTCCAGGCTGGGGCGCCGTCTATGCTGACCAGTGTTGGCAATCTGCCTGGCTTTTTCCTGAGTATTAGGCGCTGCTGAGTTAGTAGCCCTATAGTTCGTCTGAGGTGTGGTGGAGGGCGGATGTCCGTGTCCTTGCGCCGTGATGATTTGAGGTTGATAGAACGGTGAGGCCGATCTTTGTGAAGCCGACTGTTGTACCGAAGCAGACGCTTCCGTTACTGGCGAAGCTGACGCATGTCCCCTCATTGCGGCGGATGCCTGTTGAAAGCGGGCGCTGACATTCCCAGTCAAAGACGTTGCTGAGGCTGACAGCGAATTCGGTTGATTTTGAGAGGAAGGGCCAGTCCAGAATCCATAATTGGAGGGTGGGTTGCTATCGTGCCGTGAGGTGTTGTGCGTAGTGATCGGGGACCGCACCCGGTTCACCGCAGTTGAAGGTTGAACTGAAGTTGAGGCTGTAGTTGAGTGCTGCTGGTGATGCCCGTGTTGCTGTAAAACTGCATCGCCTAATCCCGACGCGTACGCCAGGTTGTTCAAACCTGAATTGCTCTGTCCTGCGATATTTGAGGATGGGGAGATGAAATAACTGCGTCCACCATCGCCTCCACCGCCTGGTATGGTATGAATCGCATAGTTGGCGTGCTGGGTGCGATCATCACGAGAGGGGATTTGTGCCCTCCCAGTATCCCACCCATTGCCATTGTATGTTGTCCGTTGACCCGTGCCACCTGGGTGGTCCTGCTGCGGTTGACCTGTCCACCCGTAGGCAGAGGAGTCATAGTGTTGTTGTCGGACATCCTCCGAATAGGGCGCTTGCGTGGCATAGCGATTGTTCGCAGATGTATGTCTTCCAGGGTTATAGGACTTGTTCATGTTCTCTTCTTGCGATTCATAGGGGGTTCCGTAGACTGTGAGCAAATGATAAGACATCACAGAGCCTCCACTGCTAGTCGTTCATAGCGACTTGCTGCCCACCTCTTGTTCTAAAATGTTGCGTCTTGCCGAGATGCATCTCCCAACCGTGCCGGCACGTCCTCGCGAGAATCGCGGGACAAGAGGAGTCAGTCGAATTTATGTTTTATTAGGAGGAGCTTGTTCCAAGGGTAAGCGCCCTCGATTCCGATGCGATTTAGTTTCTAAAGTGGTTGCGATCCAGAGGGGTGAGGCAGAGCAACTACTCGTGTACGGAAAGTGCGAGGCATGATATGTATGCTCTTCCCACTAACGCGCAGGTGGGCCAAAGGGTGGACTCGAATACGAGACTCCCTCCTCCGTACCGCGGAAGCGCGGTCTGTCGAATCTGCGTAGCCACACCATATGATCCGCCGAATCTTATTTCTTGGCACCCGACAAGTTTCGCACCACCGCAAAATCCCCAAAAATTCGCAACGGCATATTGAGACTTCAGATCTCGCCTGTTGTTCGACATTCCTTTTCCACGCCAACAATCGCCCAACCATGACGAAGACGAACCATGGTATGAACGCCCTCTCCCTCTGGTGGTATTTCTCCCAAGATGAAAACCGAAATTAATACTTGGCTCCCTGCAGGTCTTGCCTCGTCGAGGCGCAAGTCTCGCAAACTTCACTTCGGCGCCCCTTCCAGCGTGCGACGAACGATCATGAGCGCTCCCCTGAGCAAGGAACTAAGAGAAAAGCACAATGTACGAACTGAATCCATGGTCCCGCACACAACATGATCTGTGTGCCCTCTGGCCGACGTCCAACCATGATCCTAATGAAATACACAGGTCCGCAGCATCCCGATTCGCAAGGACGACGAAGTCACCATCGTGCGTGGCTCCAACAAGGGCCGTGAGGGCAAAGTCACCTCGGTCTACCGACTCAAATACCTCATCCACATCGAACGCGTGTCCCGAGAGAAGTCAAACGGCCAAGCCGTCCCGATCGGTGTACATCCCAGCAAGGTTGTTGTGACGAAGCTCAAGCTCGACAAGGACCGGGAAAAGATCCTGGAAAGGATCGGCAAGGGCAGAGAGGCCGTGAAGTCCAAGGAGTAGAGGATGAAAAGAACTGGAGCGTTGTGTAGGGCATGCGGAACTTGCGAAACTTGGCCCTTGTCCCCAATGTACACCGGGGTTGAGGCTGGGGAGAAAACAATTCAATCGGACTCGGAGCATTCCTCGACGGTTTCCATGAGGATCGTTATCAACGACAATGAGTTGATAGAGACAAAGGCGTCACACATTACCCGCAGACCGGACGTCTCATTCGTGGCTTGAATGGAAAAAGAGAAAATGACAAAAACGAGAATCATGTGCAAAGGAAAGAGTGTGCGGCCAGTCATACCTGTTGCGACCTGTTCGTCTCTATGCCTCCCTCGCACTTCCAGGGATGAAGTCAACCCGCCTTAACGAGCTTCACGAAACGCATGTTCTCCCGCTCCTTGCTTCACTTTCCCCTTCCCTTCCCTCTCCCCTCTCCCACATCTGCGGCCCGGGTGGTTGCCTCGAAAGAAATCTTCTGCAATATTCTATTTACCTGTTGATGTTGTTGTTATTTTTGCCAGTATTATCTCCTTGTCTACCGATCTTCCCGTGGTTACCCAAGGTATACGGCTGGCGCAAATTGAAACCCTTTTCCCCCATTGTTATTCACAAAAAGTGGATGTGGGGGAAACGCTCGCCGGCAGACTGTCTACAAGGACACGATTCCCAATGAGTTGCAGGATTTGATGGCGAGGGACAAATTCATTGCTCTTTTGTTGTTTGTTTTTGAGATCGTGCCCTGTTCTGTTCTGTTCTCCCCGACTTACCTCTTTCATCTCATGATGTCGAACTATCTCCCTTGTGATCCGCCCGTGAGATTCGTGCTCGCCTTGTGGTGTCCCTTCCGTGCAGGAGCTATGTCCAGTCTACATGTAGTGGCCGTGTTAAAAACAGACCGAGAAAAGAAAGATGCCGAAACTGTTAGTGCTTGAGCCGCAAGTAGGATCCCCAGTCAAGAGCATACTACTTACAGATACCTAGTACCTAGGTGATTAGGAGAGCGTATCTCACCGTATCGGTGACCGGTGACCGGTGGCCACTCGACACTCGACGCTGGATCCTGGATGGATGGATGGATGGATGGTATGTAGGTCGGGGGCTGCGACTACGAGTATCTGGATGCCGAGACTCTGCACCACCATACAGTACCACGCCCAGCCTAAAAGGATACCACCTAATATTACCTCATACCTCTTGGCACCAGTAACACAAAATCTTCAAGGCATTGTGGGCCTCAACCACACAAATCGCAACTACTACCTACTGAGCAACGCTACTTGCCTACTTACCCATATATACTACGAAGCGTTCAGCGTGGTTACAAGTGTCGCACACGTGCATACATTCCATAAGCATAAGACAATTATGAATATTTCAATACCTGAATTCTTTTGGTGCTGTGTAAATCCCTACCTACCAAGATACTGTAAGTTCTGTATACCCCCAGTCGCAAACACCATGCAAGAGTCTTTTCGTCGTTCAGGACAAATACCGAATACACCGACAAAGGCTAAACTGGCAAACTGACAATGACACCCGTTCGTCGTGGGACATCCTCCGGGTCTAGATGACTGAGAGGCATCTACGGACCTGCCTCCCCGTGTGCGTAGGTGTTTGCGCTTGTGTTTGTGTTCCTCAAAACTGCTTCTCAATGATACCATTCGCAGCATTCATCGTCCCACGCTCCGTCGTCGGTGCCGGCACATCCATCCCGGTAACCTTGGAAAGATACCTGTGGAGGCCCTCCTCGCCATCCTCGTGCTCAGCGTGGCCCTTCTGGATCTTCTGCAGACTGTCGCGCATGAGGAACTCGTAGTATCCCGTGGCGAAGATGGTGGCGGGGATGTTGACCAAGATGGAGATCCAAGAGTAGCCGTTGTCGAAGCTAAAGGCCTCGCCGCCGAAGAAGATGGCCGCGACGATGCGCGTCCCCAGATCCCTGGCCAGGTTGGTCGAGATGCTGTTCCCCGCGAAGCCCCAGACCATGGTCGCGTAGACCAGGCCAATGGTGAACGGCGCGGACGACGGGCTGACGAATGGGTTGGCCGGGTCGAGACACGCCCAGATCAGGATGCCGATGTAGCTGTCGACAAAGAATTCCTGGAAGAACAAGTACCCCTGGTTGTGCTGGTCTGGGTTGGGGAACGTGCAGAATATGCTGGCCACTCCGCCATTGTAGACCGCAGTTCCGTGCTCTTTGAGATCGATGGCTTTGGCTGCTTGGATCTGCGGCCAGTAGCACGCCATGAGGAACAGACCGGCTATGAACGCGCCAAATATCTGGGAGAAAATGTAGTGGGGGACTTTCTTCCATGGGAAGCCTAATGGTTGGACAGTTGTTAGCACCCTGAAAGTATGCTCTCCTCCAAAATTCACCCTAGGGGTCGCAATCAAGGAGAAAGACAGCTCGGCTTACCTTGCCAAATAGCGAAACAAATGGTGATAGCCGGGTTGAAGTGCCCACCGCTAGTGGGTGCACAGGTAATGATGGCAAACGCGATGCCCAAGGCGAATGCACAACCAATCTGGAAAAGAGTCCCAAAGACCGGGATTCCCACGGCCGCCCCGACGCCATTGGTGGTAGCAAGGGTGAATGAGGCCACGGAGGCGATACCAGGGAACACGTAGAAGAACACGCCGGTGCTAGTATTACTGTTATTAGCCCCAGCACATCGAACTCGGAATTGGGTAGATCGGCCTCTCAAAGATATCTGGGGGGAAACGATCGAGCACTAGGTTGGGACTACTCACGCTTCCGCCATCATTTCTCGCAGAATCCGCGGTCGTTTGTGCTCAAAATTGAGCCTCCGCTGGGACACCGCCTTTGGCGCAACCACATGGCGAGTGATGTGGCGCTGGAGCACATCGGAGACACCGAGTTCGATGTCGTGGGTATGCTGTCGAACCAGCGGGTCCGGATGGTTGCTGGCCATGGCTGCTGTGCGTCCTCGCTTGCGGGCCGACTGTGATTAATATTCAAGAACCTGGGGACGCTGCCTCTAACACAGTCTGAGGGGCAGGACGATCTGGGGAATTGAGGGGATGGAAGAGTAATCAGGAAAATTAAAATCTCTCAAAACCTGGGGGACGTGACAGTAGAAGTAGACCGCGACCTGCTTCCACGAGCACGCTCGATGCCACGTTCTTCGTTTCCACCTCGTTGATTCATAACCAGCATGCGTTCCGGACCTACCGTTGGTGCGCATTCCGAGCATCAAGAACTGCTCGGGTGAAAACCGAATCCACTTGTGGATTAGAGAGCAGGAGGGTCATTCACTGACGAGGCGTGCAACCGCAACGAGGGGTCCCGGTAGTTGCGGTATCAGCAACGCGTGCCGAATAGAACAGGGCACTGGGCCGTCATGATGAAGCAATGCAAGCTCTTCGACCTGTCACGAGAGATTTCCCGCCAGACAAGGGGACATTGCTTGACCAGAGACAAGCTTCGCCTGCACGCCACCATTCCAGATCGGCGAGTCGCCTTCCCTGATGGGGTAGGACATGTTCGGGCAGGGGTAAATGCTGCGAGGCTAGGATGCGATGAGGAAGGTAGCGAGAGGTAGACTCAGGTGGCCGGAGCCCGGGTGGAAGTGAGTGTTGGGTATTGTTCGGCAATGGTGTTGAATGATTCGTGGTGCTTAACAGATCCAGCGCTGGTGGCGCACAAAACAGCCTCGGCGGAAGAGATTGATGGGTGCGTCATCGTCGCTGTCAACGTCAGCCTTCAGAATCGAACGAGGCACCGGCGGGGGAATGGGAATGAGCGGAGGCGGAGATAAAGCGAACAGCGAGTATGCGACTGCAACAATGTCACTCGATGCGTTCCCCCCCGTGGGTCGCTGGGGTCTCCATGTGGAGGGGAAGATGAATTGATTGCGTATCATTTGGTCCGGCGTCCCGTCCGACTCCACTACCATCATAC